TATTTAATAGAAAATATAAAGATTTGCTTTTATTTGCTACATTTTCAACCTCCTCTGTACATATTAAAAAAGACTACCCTAGAAGTTACACAATGAAGCATTTCATAAACAAGAAAATATTTGAGGTAAAATTTATAATAATCCAATCACTATTGTATCATGAAGCCTTTGAACAGACAAAAAGGGGCTAGGGGTAAATGAACACTTGGTTATTTTCTATTCTTTTTCTTCAGCCACCTTCCAACAACATACCTTCCATATGAAAAATATTTGAAGTAAAATAAATATCTCAGATACTTTATGAGTATCATTTTCAAAACAATATCAATTTTATTCTCTACATATGCAAACATGACAAAATGATCAAAGTGTCAATCTGTGTTTTTGTCATTTATTTGGATTTGTAACTCATATCTCAGTTTGATGTTTAACTTCACCTTTTCTTAAACATTATCTAGTGATTGTTGTGCCATAACATGGCTACCTTTGTCTTTGTCCTTTTCTGTATTAACAAATTCAATATTTTTGTTGCTTAGAACAGAGATGCAAAAACTTACTTGTGCAGGATTGTGTCAGTTTTATTTAAATGTAGATTTTTATCTTATGCGCAACATGGTCTCTTATTTATTTTTATTTAATTACTGTCTTTAAGAAAAATTCAAGTTTTACTCATTGTGAAGCCAAATCAAAATCTTGCACTTGGCAGGTGAATGATTTAAATCTCCATTTTACTTGATTTGACTGATTGTTTTTTTTTTTTGTTTCTCGTCATTCATAAGAGAATTAATTCATAAGAGAATTAATTCATTCAAGTCAGCTGCCAAAAGCACACTTCTTACTATCTTAACATTTCCAGGCTGTTTTTGGTTATCAACATTTATTAATGCATCTGTCGCTAGCAGAGATTCAATCATATATCACTTACCATGGATATTGAGAGGCACATTAGTGGAGAGGAAAATGAAGAAGTCTTTGTGGCATGGGGTAGACATTTTGTCATTTTTCAATATTGTCTGTGTATTTTCATATTCAGTTATTTTGACCTTGTGGCAGGAGAGGAGCCAGAGTAGAGTTGGATTCAATGGTTGGTGGCCAACATGAGTGACAAGTAGAAACAGACCTGTTGTAAATAGAAAGGAAATGAGTGAGGAAAAAAGAAAATGGGTTATCAGAGTTGATTTATTGTTTGTGTTGTAGGTGCTTTCAGAGTCATTCTCATTGAAATAAGAAAGTGTCATTTTCTCTTCAAAGAAGTACTTGTTTTACTCTTCAAAAATGATATCTCCAGCCTCTCAGAGCAAAGAATTAAATTTAAAGTCTCTTTTTTAATATAGAAGTGGCATAAAATTGCTTAACATGACAGTGTTCCAGATTACAAAGCCTCATTATGGAATGCAGATTCCAAATATTGGTTGCTTAATAGATATTTGAGAATCTAACTTTCAAAACACTCATGCAAACTGTAAATATATTTATAACTTAAAAAAATAAGTCACTAAAATTTGTAATAACTGTTCAGACAAATAAACTCATTCTTTGTGGGGTTGATATTTTCAGCCAATTCATTCTACAGCCTTCCACACACGTATATAAAGAAAGAAAATATGGCAAATGTGAAATGATATACCAATTGGTTCAGTTCATTTTAGAAACATGAGCTACATAGACAATACTACTGAAAGAAAATCACACAGTGTTGAAATCTATACCAGTTTGAATTCTGCAACTAGCTGACAAGTTTCTTGCCTATTTCAGTTTTCTTATTCTTTAACAGTGTTCTCGGTTAATTATCTGGATCTCATTTCAGAGAAGATAATGCTTGAATTTTTTGATCAAGTAAAAAGACACCACAATTCTTTTTCCTTTTAGATTATACACCTGAAGAAAGCTCTAGAATGTATTTGCTGAACCATTGTCATAACAATATCAACAATCGAATGAATAAGTTCAATTAATTATCATTATTAAGATTTTAGAATTCTTTTAAATTATGTAACATGTCGGAACTGGATAAACAATAGAAACAATGTTGAGAAAGTTTGATGTGTCAATGATCAGTGAATATTTACTAAAATTGGCTTTAGTCTGGCACAGTATGACCATGAATATTAAGAGGGGGCACATTAGTGGAGATGGTTGTTGACAAATCTTCCAAGAGCAGTAGGTCTTCAAAATCCAATGATCAAATTGGTACTGGTGGGTAAATATGTAACTCCCTCAGCCACCAAGCATGCTACACACACACACATATATATATATAAGCTAAACATTGTATATGTACATATATGCTTAATGAATATCTTACTGTGTTTTTAATGTGTTAGTTGTAATGATCTGTAAAGTGCAATTTGCTAAGTGATGAATTTGATTTTCACTGGTGTCCCATATTTGTATCACTGTGCTAAAACTAAGTGATGCTTAGAAAATAACTATATACAATCCTGTGTGCATTAAGTTAAGCTTAGTAAATATGTATGTATCTAGGCTTAACTTTTGCTGGCTCATTGGAGGTGGCTTATAAGAAATTAGCACATCACAATTGTGTCAGTCTTCCTACCAAGTTGGGTGGATTTGATTATACTAAGAATCAACATTTAAAATCTGGGCTCTTTTATCTGATCTTCCAGCCCCAACATAGTAAACAGTCAGTTTTTCTATCATAAAAGTCATAATGGATTAAACTGTAAGCATATTGGTAGTAGCAATGTGTATAACATTTGCCTTTCACTCCACTAAAAATGATTTGATAATCTCTTTTCCTTCTTAAGATGACAAGCAAACACCAGATGTTGGTTACTCTAGTTACTTTCTTCTCTTCCAGATTATTTAAATCTTTTACTACCCTACAACTAGTAGATGTTACAGGATTATGGGTATCTAGAATTAATTCAGCAAAAGATCTTTTTTTTTTTTCCTTACTATGATGTTTACCTAAGGGATTCTTTTGTTTTTATTTTTCTTTACAATTTCTTTTATCTACTTGCTAGTTTTTCTTTAAAGTCTCTTTTTTTTTCTAAAGTAGATTTCCTGTAATGTCTTATTTTTATTTAATTTTTTCTTTTCACTTTTACATTTTTCTCTTCTCATAAATCTTCATAGTAATTAACAAGAAGAAGAGCATTTACCATTTATAAGCCTTACAATGGGGAAATTGAGATCATAAGCCATCTGATGTTTCTTCTAATAAGACAAATTGATTCAGTTTGTTTTGAATGTGTAATGTAGAAATGAGCTGGAGAAATGGGCATTGGCACTGACCATAATTAATAGCATCCCATATTTTAGATTCTAGATGTGGGTCATCTTCTGGCAAAATGCAAAGTTTGTCAACCATTGACCAGTCACTGCTTCGGTAAGATACACCATGGAATGTAGATGGTGATAAAGTCATTTGCATCAAGTCATTTGGAAGAGTAAGATCTCTGGAAAAGAACATTTTTAAAAACATTTCTAAAATATTTTTAACACATTTTTGAGGCCCAAATTCCATTTCTGCATTAAACTCTACAAAACATGACAGATTAACAGTTAACCTCTTGAAAAATACAATCATTTCAGATTTTACAAATAAAAGAATATTTTTTTTCTGGATTATGTAAGTGAAATAATAAGTCCTCCTATTTCAGTATTTTGAAAGCTTTGAAATTCCCTTCCATTTTCTGTTGTCAACCCAAACATTGTGGTGGACCGACAATACATTTGAGAGTGTTTATTGACAGACATAAAACTTACATCTATGCATAAAAAGAATATAAAATATACATTTCTCAACTCATATCATCTTGTAAGTTTAGACTTTGGGGAAATTTTTGTTAGTAATCAAAAAGAACTGAATAAATGTTATTATTATTACTATTATAAGAATAATAATAATAATGAGGAGGAGGTGGTGGTCATTCTTTTGTCAACTGAAAGTAAGAAAATATTTTGTAATTAAATTAAACAAATATTTTAAATCTTTTTCAAATAGGGAAAAATTTATTCAAACTATATTTGGACTATTGTCATCATCTTTGTTGTTGTTATCACAATATTTTGACCATTGTACTCTACAGCCTTCCTCAAGTGTATATCAATCTGGGTAGTCTACAGGAAATTCTGAATTGAACCCTTTATTTAACCTTTGGGGTAGACTGTTCTCATTCCACTTCTCATGTCTAGGGATATCACCTAATTGTTATTTTATTTAGTAATGTTCAGTTATTGATTACCTGTTTTCACTGAGTGCAAGTACACACTGCCTGATTCAAGGATTGAACTCACAACCACTATATCACTAAAGAAATTTATTTATTTTAGTTGTTGCAGTATGGGGAGGTATTTTATAAATTTATTTACTATAAATATATAAGGAAAAAAGAAAAGGATGCATCAAGCATACAATAGTTCAGCTTTATGAACACAGCAGATATGACTTTCTATGATGAAATATGTGCAGTAATGAACTTCTATATTTACTTGAAACTACCTCTGGATCAAAAAATAGCAAGAGTTATATGTAAATTTGTTGAATGGCAGTAAGGAGAAGAGAAAGACTAGTTTTTTTTTTAGGTACATCTTCCTTTCTCTGGCTCCTGACACTGAAACAACAAATACATATAATAATAGAAGATGAGTAATAGAAATTAACTGAATAACCTTGAGTAAAAGACTTAGAGCGAAGCTTGTTATAATGACAGTAATATGATAATGAGTAGGAAAGGTTGTTCTTTCGGCGCACGCAATCTAATGGCAATGCAGTTCATGCGGCATTGCAGCATTCCTGTTGGCGGCAGCCAGTAGCGTTCACTCATTGTTTGTGTCACTGTCATCACCTAAAAGGACATCACGTCATTGTGGTTCTGTCTCACACTTACCACCATGCAAGAGCCTCCCCTCCCTTCCAGTTTTCCTGTGGCCCTACCCTACCTACCTCTGTGTCTATCTTCATGTCTGTTTTGCACACATGGGTAGTCAGTGGTTTCTCCGGCAAGGATGCTCTTGACAGAGTGTCTGCAGTGGCCGGTACGTTCACTTTGAGTGCTCAGAGTGGGCTGTTCAAGCTTGCATATGATAAGCATGGAATGATAGAAGAGGGCCTTGTCTATGTCTGTCGGCCTCAATCTACCACAAAGCAATGATTGAAGGGAGCGGTTGGGGCCACTAATACTGCGACGTTAGAGGTGAAATTCTTTGAGCGTTACAAGATGAACTGCAGTGATGGCATAAGGCAAGCATGTTTTCCTCGAGCAAGAGTGAAAGTCGGAGGTTTGAAGATGATCAGATATTGTCGTAGTTTTGACTGTAAACGATGCTGAACAGTGATCCACAGGCGTAGGCTTCCATGACTTGGTGGGTAGCCTGTGGGAGACCAGAGTTCAGTTGGTGGGAGGTGCTTATGGTTGCAAAGCTGAAACTTAAAGGAATTGATGGGAGGGCACTGCGGCTTAATTTGACTCCACATGGGAAAATTCATCCAGTTTGGACACCAGTAGGATTGACAGATTGATAGCTCTTTCTCAATTCGGTGGGTGGTGGTGCATGGCCATTTTTAGTTGGTGGAGCAATCCGTCTGGTTGATTCCAATAATGAACAAGACTCCAGTCTGCTAACTAGTGTGCTGATGTGTGTGTTTATTCAATGGTGGGATTGGCATTCATCACAGCGCACGGGTCGGTTTTCTCATGCACTTCTTAGAGGGGCGGGTGGCAGTAAAGCTACATGAGGTGGAGTGATTATACTGGAGGTCGGGAAACTTAACCACCTCCCATGATAGGGATTTGGGCTTGTAACCAACCCTGTGAACAAGGAATTCCTGGTAAGTGCAGGTTAACAGCCTGCATCAATCACATCCCTGCCCTTTGTACACATTGCCTGTTGCTACTACCGATTGAATGGTCTGGTGAGGTCCTCAGATCTGGCTGACAATGCAGCTGGGCCACGAGTATGTGGCACAGCAGCGGTTTCCACCGTTTCCCACATGTGTCGTACTTGCCTCAGCGGTCAAACCTGATCATTTAGAGGAAGTAAAAATCATAAGGTTTCCATAGGTGAACCTGCAGAAGGCTCATTACCGATAACTGTTATTACTTTTGGCTTGTGCATCATGGCGTCTCTCTCTCCCCCGCCGTGTTCAGTAAATGACTTGACGGTTGAAGCATGTAGCATGTGTGTAGCATGTTTCGTCAGTGAAGGTCTAAGTTTGTTCCTTCTGGTGACTCGTAGCAGCCTCTTCTGCAACAGCAGACAAAGACAGTGCCACCATCACATGGACAGCCCGGTCATGTCTGCTGTTGCAAATGCCACTACTGACACTGAGCTCCTTTTGCTGTGGATGCCTGGCTGGTGGAACAGATCAAAGCTGCCTCCTCCTCCTGCATAAGATGGACATCATCACACTCCCATCTCCTATGAATTATTTCCAGCCATTCTGTTTTCGTATCTTTCCTATGTCCCACCAGGAAATCGAGGTCAGTTAGATATGCATGTGATTCGAGCAACATCATTGTCAGCCACCTTCCTCAATGATGACAATGACAATGTCACTCACTGCAGCAAGCGCCTGTGTTGTTGTTGACTGCCATGTTTGTGAGATGGACACTGTCACTCCTCAATCTCCTGCCAACATAATCATGGTGGCATGTAACAAGTCCTGTCGCTGCCACCACATCCTGCTGTACGGGCCATGCCGCTGCAATGTCCTTGACATTTGTGGTAGGTGCTAGGGTGTCAGTCTGTTGTGGACGTTGACCGCTCTGGTTGCAGGCACGTTTCTAACTGTTGATGCCGATTCTTCGCCGTGCCCCCTGTACCAGTCGTCCTCCTGCTGGTCAGGAGGTGGGGGAGGGGGTCATGCTGTCAGGGACGGATCTTTCCTCCCCCCAGATGATGATGGTTCTTGATCTTCTTGCTCCTCATACACATTTTTTAAACCACTCATAAAAACAAATCAAAACAAAATCCTGGACAAGGGATCACTCAGCTTGTCTGTCGATGAAGAGCATGGCCAGTCGTGAGAACTGATGTGAATTGCAGGATTTGGTAAACATCAACACCTCAAACGCACATTGCAGCCTCAAGATTCCTTGTGTTGGGGTCCTGTCCGGTCGAGAGGCGGAAAATGGCATATCTTCTCACTTGATAGTCGAGAGGCATCTTAACATTCTCCACATCTTTTTGCCTTTCTCACGGGGAGGGAACCAGGATGTGGCAGGATGAAGTAAGATTCCTTCATCTCCTGTTTGCATGCCATGGGGTCACTTCCATTATGACTGTGAGCAGTCGTTGATTGCAAGACAACCAGAGTGGCAACGTTATTTCACTCTTGATCCTTCAATGTCAGCTCTTCCTATCATCGTGAAGCAGAATTCACCATGTGTTGGATTGTTCACTTACTGACAGGGAATGTGAGCTGTGTCTGCTTTAGATGTAGCCCTTTACCACTCACTGCATGTAGTAGTGGGCCATCATGTTTTGGTAGGCAGAGGTGAGGACAGTGCTTCCACCATTCATCGTATCTTC